CTTGTTTTCCAATTTGTATTCCTTTTATTTATTTTTCTTCTCTGATTGTCGTGGCTAGGACTTCCAAAACTATGTTGAATAATAGTGGTGAGAGTGGACATCCTTGTCTTGTTCCTGATCTTAGAGGAAGTGCTTTCAGTTTTTCACCCTTGAGAATGATGTTTGCTGTGGGTTTGTCATACATGGCCTTTATTATGTTGAGTAGACTCCCTCTATGCCCACTTTCTGGAGAGTTTTTATCATAAATGGGTGTTGAATTTTGTCAAATGTTGTTTCTGCATCTATTGAGAGGATCATATGGCTTTTCTTCTTCAATTTGTTAATATGGTGTACCACATTGATTGATTTGCGTATATTGAAGAATCCTTGCATCCCTGGAATAAATCCCACTTGATAATGGTGTATGATCCTTTTAATGTGTTGTTGGATTCTGTTTGGTAGTATTTTGTTGAGGATTTTTGCATCTATATTCATCAGTGATATTGGTCTGTAATTTTCTTTTTTTGTAGTATCTTTGTCTGGATTTGGTATCAGGGTAATAGTGGCCTCATAGAATGAGTTTGGAAGTGTTCCTTCCTCTGCAGTTTTATGGACGAGTTTGAGAAGGATGGGTGTTAGCTCTTCTCTAAATGTTTGATACAATTCACCTGTGAAGCCATCTGGTCCTGGACTTTTGTTTGTTGGAAGATTTTTAATCACAGTTTCAATTTCATTACTTGTGATTGGTCTGTTCATATTTTCTATTTCTTCCTGGTTCAGTCTTGGAAGGTTATACCTTTTTAAGAATTTGTCCACTTCTTCCAGGTTGTCCATTTTGTTGGCATAGAGTTGCTTGTAGTAGTCTCTTTTGATGCTTTGTATTTCTGTGGTGTCTGTTGTAACTTCTCCTTTTTCATTTCTAATTTTATTCATTTGAGTCCTCTCCCTCTTTTTCTTGATGAGTCTGGCTAATGGTTTATCAGTTTTCTTTATCTTCTCAAAGAACCAGCTTTTAATTTTATTGATCTTTGCTACTGTTTTCTTTGTTTCTATTTCATTTATTTCTGCTCTGATCTTTATTCTTTCTTTCCTTCTGGTAACTTTGGGTTTTGTTTGTTCTTCTTTCTCTAGTTCCTTTAGGTGGAAGGTTAGATTGTTTATTTGAGATTTTTCTTGTTTCTTGAGGTAGGCTTGTATAGCTGTAAACTTCCCTCTTAGAAGTGCTTTTGCCACATTCCATAGGTTTTGGATCGTTGTGTTTTCATTGTCATTTTTCTCTAGGTATTTTTTGATTTCCTCTTTGATTTCTTCAGTGATCTGTTGGTTATTTAGTAACATATTTTTAGCCTCCATGTGGTTGTGTTTTTTTCCCTGTAATTGATTTCTAATCTCAACGTTGTGGTCAGAAAAGATGCTTGATATGATGTCAATTTTCTTAAATTTACTGAGGCTTGATTTATGACCCAAGATGTGATCTATCCTGGGGAAATTCCATGCACACTTGAGAAGAAAGTGTAATCTGCTGTTTTTGGATGGAATGTCTTATCAATATCAATTAAATCTATCTGGTCTATTGTGTCATTTAAAGCTTCTGTTTCCTTGTTTGTTTTCATTTTGGGTGATCTGTCCATTGGTGTAAGTGAGGTGTTAAAGTCTCCCAGTATTATTGTGTTACTGTCAATTTCCTCTTTTAGAGCTGTTAGTATCTGCCTTATGTATTGAGGTCCTCAAATGTCGGGTGCATATATATTTATAATTGTTATATCGTCTTCTTGGACTGATCCCTTGATCACTATGTAGTGTCCTTCCTTGTCTCTTGTAACATTCTTTATTTTATAGTCTATTTTATCTGATATGAGTATTGCTATTCCAGCTTTCTTTTGATTTCCATTTGCATGGGATATCTTTTCCCATCCCCCCACTTTCAGTCTGTATGTGTCCCTTAGGTCTGAAGTGGGTCTCTTTTAGACAGCTTATATATGGGTCTTCTTTTATATCCATTCAGCAAGCGTGTGTCTTTTGTTTGGAGCATTTAATCCATTCACCTTTGAGGTAATTATTGATATGTATATCCTATGACCATTTTCTTAATTGTTTTGGGTTTGTTTTTGTAGGTCCTTTTCTTCTCTTGTGTTTCCCACTTAGAGAAGTTCCTTTAGCATTTGTTGTAGAGCTGGTTTGGTGGTGCTGAATTCTCTTAGCTTTTGCTTGTCTGTAAAGCTTTTGATTTCTCCATTGAATCTCAATGAGATCCTTGCCAGGTAGAGTAATCTTGGTTGTAGCTTCTTCTTTTCATTACTTTAAGTATACCATGCCACTCCCTCTGGCGTGTAAATTTTCTGCTGAGTAATCAGCTGTTAACCTTGTGGGAGTTCCCTAGTATGTTATTTGTTGCTTTTCCCTTGCTGCTTTCAATCATTTTTCTTTGTCTTTAATTTTTGCCAATTTGATTACTGTGTGTCGTGGCGTGTTTCTCCTTGGCTTTATCCAGTATGGGACTCGCTGTGCTTCCTGGACTTCAGTAGCTATTTCCTTTCCCATGTTAGGGAAGTTTTTGACTATAATCTCTTCAAATATTTTCACTGGTCCTTTCTTTCTCTCTTCTCCTTCTGGTACCCCTATAATGCGAATGTTGTTGCGTTTATTGTTGTCCCAGTGGTCTCTTAGTCTGTCTTAATTTCTTTTTGTTCTTTTTTCTTTATTCCCTTCCACAGCAGTGAATTCCACCATTCTGTCTTCCACGTCATTTATCCATTCTTCTGCCTCAGTTATTCTGCTATTGATTTCTTCTAGTGTAGTTTTCTTTTCAGTTATTGTATTGTTCATCTCTGTTTGTTTCTTCTTTAATTCTTCCAGGTCTTTGTTAAACATTTCTTGAGTCTTCTCGATCTTTGCCTCCATTCTTTTTCCGAGGTTCTGGATCATCTTCACTATCATTATTCTGAATTCTTTTTCTGGAAGGTTGCCTGTCTCCACTTCATTTAGTTGTGTTTCTGGGGTTTTATTTTGTTCCTTCATCTGGTACATAGCCCTCTGCCTTTTCATCTTCTCTATCTTTCTGTGAATGAGGTTTTGTTCCACAGGCTGCAGGATTGTTGTTCTTGCTTCTGCTGTCTGCCCTCTGGTAGATGAAGCTATCTAAGAGGCTTGTGTAAGTTTCCTGATGGGAGGGACTTGTGGTGGGTAGAGCTGGTTGTTGCTCTGGTGAGCAGAGCTCAGTAAAACTTCAATATGCTTGACTGTTGATGTGTGGGGCTGGGTTCTCTCCCTGTTGGTTGTTTGGCCTGAGGCAACCCAACACTGGAGCCTACCTGGGCTCTTTGGTGGGGCTAATGGCAGACTCTGGCAGGGCTCGCACCAAGGAGTACTTCCCAGAACTTCTGCTGCCAGTGTCCTTTTCCCATACGGTGAGCCACAGCCACCCCCTGCTTCTGCAGGAAACCCTCCAACACTAGCAGGTAGCTCTGGTTCATTCTTCCCTGGGGTCACTGCTACTTCCCCTGGGTCCTGAGGTGCACACTACTTCGTGTGTGCCCTCCAAGAGTGGAGTCTCTGTTTTCCCCAGTCCTGTCGAAGTCCTGCAGTCAAATCCCACTAGCCTTCAAAGTCTGATTCTCTAGGAATTCCTCCTCCCATTGCCGGACCCTCAGGTTGGGAAGCCTGACGTGGGGCTCAGAACCTTCACTCCAGTGGGTGGACTTCTGTGGTATAAGTGTTCTGCAGTGTGTGAGTCACCCACCCGGCAGTTATTGGATTTGATTTTGCTGTGATTGCACCCCTCCTACCATCTCATTGTGGCTTCTCCTTTGTCTTTGGATGTGGGGTATTTTTTTTGGGGGGTGAGTTCCAGTGTCTTCCTATTGATGATTGTCCAGCAACTAGTTGTGATTCTGGTGTTCTCACAAGAGGGATTGAGAGCATGTCCTTCTACTCTGCCATTTTGTTTCCTCTCCCAATGCCAGTTGTGGTTGTGGTTGTTGTTGCTGTTCGATAATCTTAGATGTGTTTTGAAAAATGTATAAACATACAAACAAGACTCACAGAACACTACATTAAAGTCCCTTCATGTCCTTTTGCCCTCCTCACCAAGAGGGAATTGTTATTGTAATATCTAGCCACATAAATTAATTTTGCCCATTTTTGAAATTCATAGAAATAGTATGTATAAAAATAGTATGCACTCTTTGGTGTCTAGCTTCTTCAGCTGACCATATTTTTGTTGAGATTCATCCAGATTGTTGAGTGTATCAGTGTTTCCTTACTTTGTATTTCTGAGTAATAGCCATGGTATTAATTCACTATGGTATGTTCATCCATTCCAAATATCCAGCTATTCTGAATAAAGCTGCTATAAACATTTCAGTACAAGCCTTTTGTAGACACATATTTTTATTTCTCTTGAGAAAGTGCCATTTGTTGAAAAGACTGTACTTGCCTCCATTGATTTGCATTAGTGTATTTATTCAAAAGCATATGATTATTTATACTCCTCTCTTTCTGGACTCCCTACTTTCTCCTATTGATGAATTTGTTTGGCCTTTCACCAACACTACACTGATTGCTCTAGCTTGAAACTACTTCAAATACATTATATTTTTTTAAGTGCTATTTTCTCTGCAATGTGCACATATGATTTTCTCAACCAGACTAATCATATAAGTTTTGAGAATAAAGCAGTTTACTTGAGGGAAGGTCTTTTTTGTTGTTCAGGGGACTTACTTCCAAGAGTAACTCAGGGTATTTGTAAATGGTCCCTTTAAAATAGACATGAGCCAAAGTCCTTCAAGGACTGGCTCAATTTTCTGGGACGTTCTATTAGGGATTATATTTTAGGGGGTATGAAATTATAAGTTCAGTCCCACATCTTCTTATTGTGTCATGAATTCTCAAAAGCCAGTTAGTACAATAAAATTTTTAATTAATATATAGGGGTCCAAATTTCTAAGTGGCACTTCCTAAAGTTAAATTATGTTTTTACCTCAGATGTGTTAATGATGGATACTTTCTGTTCTACATTCCAGTTCCAAATTTTTGTTCCATTCGTTATGGAATTGCTCTCTTACTGCTCCTCTGTAATGTTATAGTAATGTCACAGCGCGTGTGTATGAGCCTCACAATGATAGCCATGGTGAACAGCACAGAGCCACATGGTTTGTCCAACACCTCCACAAAGGAGCCACAGGATAACATAAAGGTATATCAAAAATATTATAGACAGTCATAAGTTTAAAATCCTATCTTGCTAACTAATTTGTGGAGAGGTTGAATGTTATCATAATTGATATGACAGTAATTATTAAAGAAAGACGCTCAAGTCTTGATCTGTCTTGCCAGTAGTAACCTAAATAAACATGTCCCACAACTAAAATACGTCTCAGTATTTGTAAAGGGCAAGAGAAGTTTGGACAAGAGAAAAAAGGAAAGCATCTTAAATGAGAAGTAGAAGTCAAGACACTTTCTTTCTTATTTACATTTTTAACATACAGTACATTTACATGTTTCATTAATTTCATCTATGTAAGGTAATGAGTTGATACCTTTCAGAAGATGTAGTACAGAAAAAAATGAAAATAGGTGGGAAAAATATTCTCCACTATACTCTTCCTATGTCCCTTTATGAATACACAGGCAAATAAGAAAATATTTTCTTATTATCACCCCTATTTACATTAAAAATAACACTATATGAAGTGTACTGCACCCTGATTTTTTTTAACATAAGCATCAGAACCAGGCTCAGATCTGACACATATGTAGGAATTCCTAGACAGGGAATTTAAAATAACTATAATTAATATGTCAAGGGTGCTAATGGGAAAAAAATGACAACATACAATACCACATAGGTAATGTTAGCAGAGAGATGGATATTATTAGAAAGCGTAAAAAAGAAATAGTAGAAATCATGGCAACTGTAACAGGTACAAAGAATGCCTTGATGGGCTTATAAGTAATCTCAACACAGCTGAGGAAAGGATCAATGAACTTGAATATAGGTCAATAGGAACTTCCCAATCTGAAATGAAAGAGAATTTAATAAATAAATAAACAAACAAACAAACAGAACATCTCAGAACTGTGGACAATACCAAAAGTTGTAACATATGCATGACTAGAACACCAGGAAGAGTAGGAAAAAATGGGAAGAAGAAATATTTGAAAAATTAATGGCTGAGAACTTTTTTGAAATTAATGGCAGACACCAAGCCACAAATCCAAGAAGCTCAGAGAACACCAAACAGGATAAATATTAAAAAGAAAAATAATCATCAACAACAAGAACAACCACCCAGACATACATATTTAAATTGCAGAAAACTAAGACAAAGAGAACTTCTTGAATGAAGCTAGAGGCAAGAATCACCTACAGAGGAACAGGATAAGAATTACGGAAGACTTCTTATCAGACACCACTCAAACATGAAGAGAGAAATGAACTCTTTAAAGTATTGAAAGAAAAAAAAAAGACACCTGCCAAACTAGAATTCTATATCCAATGAAATTACCTCAAAAGTCAAAGAGAATAAAGACATTTTCAAGCAAAGAAAAACTGAAGGAGCTATATTAATTTCAGACAGAGCAGAATTTATATCAAGGAAGATTATCAGAGATAAAGAGGGCACTGTCTGATGATAAAGGGGTCAATTCGCCAAGGAGACATAATAATCCTAACCATGTATGTCTCTAACAACAATCCTATACATGTATGTCTCTAACAAAGCAGCAAAATACAGAAGGCTAAAACTGCTAGAACTAAAAGAAAAGACAAATATAAAATTGGTAACTGTTTTCTATTTGTTACATCTGTTCTCTGTTACGTTTCTCTTTTCCACTCCTTTTTTTGCCTTATCTTGGTATAATTGAGCATTTTATATGATTCAATTTTTTTTTTTTTTTTTTTTTTTTTTGCATTACGCAGGCCTCTCACTGTTGTGGCCTCTCCTGTTGTGGAGCACAGGCTCTGGACATGCAGGCTCAGCGGCCATGGCTCACGGGCCTAGCCGCTCTGCGGCATGTGGGATCTTCCCAGACCAGGGCACGAACCCATGTCCCCTGCATCGGCGGGTGGACTCTCAACCACTGCACCACCAGGGAAGCCCTATATGATTCAATTTTATTTCTTCTCTTAATGTATCATTTATACTTAAAAAAACTGTTTTAATAGTTTCCCTAGGGTTTACAATATACATTTTTAAATAATAGAAATCCACTATCAAATAACACTTTACTGCTTCATGTGTAGTGCAGGCACTTTATAACAGAGTATTCTTAATTCTTCTCTCCCATCTTTTGTGACACTGCTGCTATTCATTTCCCTTATCCATATGCTATAAATGCCCAATACAGAATTACATTATTGCTTTAAACAAGTAGGTATCTTTTGCATCAATTCAAAATAAAAAAATTTACACCTTCATTTATTCTTTCTTCATGCTCTTCTTTTTTAAATGTAGTTACAAGTTTCTGAACTATATAATTTTCCTTCTGCATAAAGAACTTCTGTTGGTTTTACCAAAACTTCTTCTGGCTTTATATCTAATAAATCTTTGCATAGCCCAAAGTAAAAATATCTGTTATGTTTTCTTCTAGAAGTTTTATAATTTCAGGTTTTACATTTAAATATTCATTTTTTCAATTTTTGTATATGTTGTGTTAAAGATCCTTTTTTACATATGTGTATACAACTGTTCTAGCATCATTTGTTGAAAAGACTTCTTTCTCCACTGAATTGTCTTTTAAGTTTGGCAGAAAATCAATAGTTACAGGAATAATGCTACCTACCTGATTTTAAGACTTTGTTATAAAGCTACAGTAATCAAGACAGTGTGTTATTAGCATAAAGACAGAAAAGTAATCATTGAAATAGAACAGAGTGTCCAGAAATAGACTCACACACATATGAACTACTGATTTTTTTCATGATTCACAAAAGAACAAACAAAAAAATTGGACTTCACCAAAACTCAAAAAAACACTGTTAAAAGACTGAAAAGGCAAACCAGAGACAGTGGTAAATTTTTGAAAATCATATCTAGTAAAGGAAGTTTATCAAAAATCAATAATAAATGAAACCAACAACAGCACAAAAATGGGGAAAAGATGTGAATAGACACTTCATCAAAGATGATACATGGGGCTTCCCTGGGGGCGCAGTGGTTGAGATTCCGCCTGCCGATGCAGGGGACACGGGTTCGTGCCCTGGTCCAGGAAGATCCCACAAGCCATGGAGCAGCTAGACCCGTGAGTCATGGCTGCTGAGCCTGTGCATCCGGAGCCTGTGCTCCTCAACGGGAGAGGCCACAACAGTGAAAGGCCCGATATGACTACACATCAATTCAAATGGCCAAAATTATAAAGATTGGACATAAGTGTTGTAAGAATGTGGAGGAACTGGAAGTCTTCTACACTGCTGGTGATAATTCACAATTGTACAACCAGTTTAGTTAAGCATACAGCTACCGTATGATCCAGCCATTCCACTGCTACTAAAGAGAAATGAAAGCATGTGTCCATATAGAGATGTATATATAGATTCTCATTGTAGCTTTATTTGTAATAGCAAAAAATTGGAAACAACCAACATGTTCATCAATAGGTGAATGAATGTGCAAACTATGGCCCGTCCATAAAATGGAGTACTGCTTAGTACTAAAAAGGGATGGGGGGCTTCCCTGGTGGCACAGTGGTTGAGAGTCCGCCTGCCGATGCAGGGGACACGGGTTTGTGCCCCGGTCCGGGAGGATCCCACATGCCATGGAGCGGCTGGGCCCGTGAGCCATGGCCACTGAGCCTGCACGTCCGGAGCCTGTGCTCCGCAATGGGAGAGGCCACAACAGTGAGAGGTACGCGTACCACAAAAAAAAAAAAAGGGACGAACTATTGATACACAGGCCAACATGGATGCCACTCTTATTATGCTGAGTCAACTAAGCTAGATAAAAAGAAATAGTACATACTGTATGACTCCATTTATATATAAAACTTCTAGGAAATGATGATAAAGCAGATCATTGGCAGTGGAGGAGCAGAAGGGAGGAATTACAAGGAGTAAGAAAACTTTTGGAGGTGAATAATATTTTCATCATCTTGATTCTGATGATGGTTTCATGAGTGTACACATTTAAAAATTTAGCAAGTTGTACACTTTATGACAAAGATTAAATATACAGTTTATTGTGTCAATTGTACCTCAAAAAATCTGTCAAAACCTATTCAAATTTTTTTCTTTAATTCTTAAATATTTGTAGTATTCCATTGCCTTGGTTTAAATATCGAGAACCCCATTCTCTAGAGAGATGACTACTCACAAAGGCTGTACTTCATTTCCTTCACTGTAGCAAAAGAAGAGGCAAGAGAGATGGCTACTCACAAAGGCTGTATTTTATTTCCTTCACTGTAGAAAAAGAAGAGGCAGCTCAAGCTGTGGAGCTTGGAACATTTCTTTGGCACATTCACCCCCATCCCCACCCACCATGGAACCTGCTGCTATAATCCAGGACAGTTGATCTTCTTCAAATATGAGTCACAGGAAAGGATTTCAGTTTGCTGCTCTACAAAGGTACTAGATGAAGAAACAGAGCACATAATTATTCTCAAGTATGAAAACTCACCAGGATATCATTTTCCCAAAGCAGATCTAAATTGTAACCTGAAATTACAAATGAACCTAAAAACTGGGAAAGCAACTGTAGCTATGAAAGGAACACTACAGTGCAGCACATCCAGGAGCTCAAAGCAGAGATAGCCAGGTGGTAGCAGTCTATGCTCAGACAGCAGATGAATGGGGAAGAAAAAAGGAAATTAACAGAACTCAGAAAAGGATTATGATAAAATGAGACAGAACATTTTAGGAAAGAAGACAAAATAACAAGGAAAACAGCGAATAGGAACCACAGAGACCGCAGTAAGGGACACTGAGTATAGAAAGGAAAAGGAAGGAAGATGAGAAAAAGTGTGACACATAAATGAGGAGTATTCTTTATCAGTCTTCCCTCTGCCACAACAGCCAAGGAGTATGTATAATTATTCTATTTAAAATTTACCAATCCTATAGAAATTCTGCCATAACTGTAAATTTTTTATTATTAATGAATGTGCACATTTTTATATTTCTGTGACCTATACTTATTGATCATTTCCATTTTTCTCTCATAAATTATCTATTGATACCCTTAGTCCATTTTACAAGTAGATATTATCTACTTGCTCATTTATATGACTCATACAGATGTATATATATTTATTCCTAAAATTTATATAGGATAACATTTATATATGTAGCACTTTGTTTAATGACAACTAGTTAATGCAACTTAAGTTTTATCCTTCTGGTGTGGGGAGTTTATGAGTTCAGCAGTTTTAATTCAACTATGGTGGGATTTTTTTCTTTTTCTTACATCCTGCTGTGAAGAGTGATGGCTTTATGCCATTAGAAAAACAACCCAATATTCTGAATAATCTGCACAGGGAGAGTTGAACAAATGTGTGCTGGACCACCTGATATGGGTAAGGGTGAATATTGATTTCCTTGGAGAAATTCCTGTGATTTAGAAAAAAATGGCAGAGCATCTTGTTCCATTCTCTGAGTAGCTTCCCACCAATGGAAAAGATCTGGAGCTTCCATGCTCCCTTGGCTACTCTATGGATGCCTCTCACTATTCAATATTCTCAGAGTTGTACTCCTACCAGATCTCTCATGAAAGTCCTTTCCATCAGAAAGAGACATCACTATACAGAGGCCACAGCTACAGGATGACAGAGATTTGAGAAAGGGAGGAAAAAAAAAAAAAGGGATGAAGGGTGAAAGATAACAGTGATGAGAGAAGAAACACAGGGACTCCTACCTATTTCATTATTTCATAGTCAGCCAAAAATTTCATTAAGAACATTCATTATTTAACATAACTCTTCATTTCTTAATATAAAAACTAATTATGCAAGTGCAGAGAAAGTTTAGAGAAGCAGACTATCATACACATTACCAAAGAGGCTTTATCTTGTCCTCACTTACTAAAATTAAGGCTTCTCCCTGTTCAGTGGGTCCAAAAATAGCACAGCCTCCTCATAGCCCAGGGTATAAGTTCAATGTTCAGAATTTCTTATATCAACTTTAATAATGCAACAAATTTATGCAAGACCACCTAGCCTAAGAACTGACAGAGGAAACCACTCCCAAGACAGACAACAAAACATGCCACATCAGAGCCAAGCGAAAGAAGAGAAATGGTCTTTTTCCTTCACTATCCCATTCAATTATTTCCATAGTTCAGCCTGAGAACTTCTCTTCATGATTTGATATTCTCTCAATTGCTGCTTTTCTCTCTGGGATCATGTGGGGGGGGGGATGTTGTTTTATGAATGAGGTTAACTGAATAGAGAAATTAGAGGGTGAGAAGGGGCAGGACGAAATTAATGATTGCAGTAAATGTATTACATGGCACTCGACAGAAGAGTTTACATGTTTTTTATAAACTTTCAAGAAACAGGTATTAGAGATGTTGAAGATAAAGAGGTAGAAAGGTCTGGACTCACCTCTTCATACAGACACACCAAATATACAGCTACATATGGAACAACTTCCTGTGGAAAAAAAATTGAAAGCTGAGTAACTCCTACACATCAGGCGAACAAGAAGAAGCCCACAACCAAGAGGAAATGCTGAGACACAGTCTCACTGTAAACCCCACCCCTGGCAAGGCGACCCAGCAAGGCAACCCTGAGGAGTGAAGAGTTTGAACCCCACAATGGGCATGCCAACTTTTAAGACCTGTGCCTGAGAGATACGCCACCCAAATATCTAGCTCTGAAAGCCAACAGGGCTCATATACACAAGTCCCACAGGGTATAGCGAACTGAGAAATGGTTCTTAAAGGGCTTGCACATGAACTCACCTACCCCAGAGCACAGAACAGAAGCAACCATTTGAAAACCACCAAGATGTTCTATGAAAGAGGCTTATTTGCTTACCATAAACTGTTGGCCTGAGGGGCGGGCATCTAATTTAACACACATCTAGGGCCTGCTGGAGTTCTCTTTGGGGATGGAGACCAGCAGATGCCATCCTTGTGTCCTCTCTTTGCTGTGCTCTGGAGAGCCAGTATCTCCCCAAAGGGAGCTTTTACATTCATCTGGCCTCTTGTTCTGGCACCCGATTTATTTTCTTTTTAACAGCTGCCGCCTTGATCATCTGGCTCTGGTGGCCATCAGGGTTTGACAAAATTAATATCCAAAATTCTAAACAAGTGAGTATAGAGGGAATGTACCTCAACATAATAAAGGCCATGTATAACAAGACCACAGATAACATCATACTCAATGGTGAAAATCTGAAAGCTTTTCCTCTAATATCAGGAATAAAACAGTGATCCCCACTCCCACCACTTTTATTCAACGTAGTATTGGAAGTCCTCACCAAAGCAATTAGGCAAGGGAAAAAAAAGACATCCAAATTGAAAAGGAAGAAGTAAAATTGTCACTATTTGCAGATGACATGATATTATATATAGAAAATCCTGAAGACTCCACTAAGGAAACTGTTAGAAATAAAAATGAATTCAGTAAAGTTGTAAGATACAAAATCAATATACAAAAATCTGTTGCATTTCTATACACTATTAACAAACTAGCAGAATCAAAATTAAGAAAACAATTCTAATTGCATCAAAAAGACTAAAATATACAGGACTAAATTTAACCAAGAAGGTTAAATACCTATGCACTGAAAACTGTATGACGCTGATGAAAGAAACTGAAGAAGACACAAGTAAATGGAAAGATATTTTGTGCTCATGGATTGAAAGAATTCATATTGTTAAAATGTCTACAGTAGATGTAATCATCAAAATTCCGATTGCCTTTTTCACAGAAATAGAACAAACAGTACTACAATTTGTATGGAACTACAAAAGGCCCAGAATAACCAAAGCAATAATGAGAAAGAAAAACAAAGCTAGAGGCATCAAGCTCCCTGATTTCAAACTACATTCCAAAGCTATAGTAATCAAAAATTATGGTATTTGCATAAACTCAGACACGTCAATCAGCGAAGCAGTGTAGATAGCCCAGAAATAAACCCATACGTATTTGGGCAATTAATCTATGACAAAGGAGGCAAGAATATAAAATGATGAAAAGACAATCTCTTCAATATATAGTGTTGGGAAAACTGAGCCACTATCTTATAATGCACACAAAAATTAACTTAAAATGAATCCAACATTGGAACATTAAGACCTAAAAACATAAAACTAGAAGAAAACATAGGTGAAAAGCTCACTGACATTAGTCTTGGCTATGATTTTTTGGATTTTACATCAAAATCAATGGCAACAAAAGCAAAAATAAACAAGTGAGACTACATCAAACTAAAAAGCTTCTGCATGGCAAAGGATACCATCAACAAAATGAAAAGGCAACCTACTGAATAAGAGAAAATATTTGCAAATCATTTCTGATAAGAGATTGGTATCCAAAATATATGAAGAACTCATACAACTCTATTGCAAAAAAAAAAAAAAAAAATCAAAAAATGGGCAGAGAGGCTTCCCTGGTGGCACAGTGGTTGAGAGTCCGCCTGCCGATGCAGGGGACACGGGTTCGTGCCCCGGTCCGGGAAGATCCCCCATGCTGCAGAGCGGCTAGGCCCGTGAGCCGTGGCCACTGAGTCTGCTCGTCTGGAGCCTGTGCTCCGCAATGGGAGAGGCCACAACAGGGAGAGGCCCGTGTACCGAAAAAAAAAAATGGGCAGAGGATCTGAATAGACATTTTTCCAGAAAAGACGTACAAATTGTCAAGAGGCATATGAGAGGGTGCCCAACATCATCAGGGAAATGCAAATCAAACCCACAAGGTATCACCTCATACCTGTCAACATGGATATTATCAAAAAGACAAGAAATATCAAGTGTTGACTAAGATGTGGAGAGAAGGGAGCCCTAGTGCACTGATGGTATAACATAAATTAGTGCAGTCACTGGAAAACAGTATGAAGTTTCTTCAAAAACTTAAAAATTTAATTATCATATCCAGCAATTCTAGTTCTGGGTATTTATCCTAAGAAAATAAAAACACTAACTTGAAAAAATATCTACACCCCCATGTTCATTGCAGCATTATTTACAACAGCCTAAGGATCCATCAAGGATGAATGGATAATGCAAAAGCACTGTATATATACAATGGAATATTATTCAGTCATAAAAAGTAAGAAATCTTGCCATTTGCGACAACATGAATGGACCTTGAGTGTATTATGCTAAGTGAAATAAATCAGACAAAGAAAGACAAATACTATACGATCTTGTTTATATGTGGAATCTAAACAAACAAATGAATCTGAGCTCCTGGTTACAGAGAATAGGCTGGTGGTTGCCAGTAGCAGGGGGTCGGGGGAGGGTGGTGTTGGGCAAAATGGGTAAAGAGAGTTAAAAAGTGCAAACTTTCAGCTATAAAATAAGTTATGGGGGGACCTCCCTGGTGGTCCAGTGGTTAAGACTTTGCCTTCCAATGAGAGGGTGTGGTTTCAATCCCTGGTTGGGGAGCTAAGATCCCATGTGGCTGGCGGCCAAAAAACCAAAACAGAAGCAGTGTTGTAACAAATTCAATAAAAACTTTAAAAAAATGGTCCACATCAAAATAAATCTTTAAAAAAATTGTTATGGGGGTGTAGCATATAGCATGGTGACTATAGTTAATGATACTGTATTGTATAGTTGAAAGTTGCTAAGAGAGTAGATCTTAAAAGTTTTCATCACAACTATATATATGGTGATGGATGTTAACTAGACTTGTGATCATTTCTCAGTATATATAAATATCGAATCATTATGTTGTACACCTGAAACTAATATAATCTGCCAATTATATCTAAAAATTTTTTTAAAAGCAAGTATTAAACGTCTATGCTGTGACAGGTATGGGTGGTACAAATGATGCCCTTGACTGCAAAGACTTTTCGTTATAGTTGAGGGTACCAATGATAAAATGTAACTACACACAGATAATGATGTTATTAGGAATAAAGAAGTCCCATAATAGAGGATATTAGGCAGAGGACAGCTATTTTACATGGGGTAAGCTGGAAGACCAGTTTTCCCATATTCCTGAACATCATAGAAAATCACCTGTAGAGTGGCTAGATGTGTCTCCTTTCTCCTTTCAGAACCCTGTGTATAACTGGAGCACTGAAATCCAGGGGATCATGTTAAGTTCCATCTTCTACGGTATACTCATCAGCCAGATTCCTGCTGGATATTTATCTGGAATATACTCCTTAAAGAAAATGGTTGGTTCTGCATTGCTCCTCAGCTCTCTGTTTACTCTGCTCATCCCACTGGCAGCTGAATTTGGAGAAGCTTTGGTCATCATATGCCGAGTAATCCAGGGACTATTCCAGGTATTAAGATAATACAAAAACTGAACCAAGAGCTTAAATTCACAGAAAGTGTCAGAGATCAAATGTTCTAATCATTCTTCTCTCAGGGGATAGCATTAACAACTCAGCAAGTAGTATGGATCAAGTGGGCTCCTCCCTTGGAACAAGTCCGACTTACCTCTCTGAGTTTATCAGGTAATGACTAGGGGCCTAGAATGTTTAATCTCATTGTCATCTCATTGTAGCATGTGCTGCCCTAGAGCCGTAAGAAACATGTATGTTTTGAACTGTCAAGGGCTTTGGAAACCATCCTCACTTTAAAGATATGGAAATTGTCTGGGATGGAGAAGAGGCTTCCTTATCTCAAACAACAGAGAAAAGAGAGAAAAGCAAATATTTTATTATTTTCTTCTGTTCGGTGTTATACATTATACAGATATTTCACTATAAATTGTTCACTGCTACCATGAGACTACATTATTTCTACTTCCAGATGCCTGCATTCATTGGGGGTGTTCTTTGTGCCTTCTGATTAGGACTTCTGCTAGGACCCTGTGTTGTCCTACTTATAACAGGATTCATCTGTGACTCCCTGGGATGGCCTATGGTCTTTTATATTTTTGGTGAGTCTCTTTCTATAAAAATCCCAGTCATTATTCAGAATTTTTAGAACTTAAAACTAAAAATGGAATACAGTAGTTTATATGAAGTTAGCAATATTAAAAATCATAAATCCCATTGAAGGAAAAAGAGCAGTCAACATTCATGAATTTCTTATTATAAGCAAGACATCACGCTCAGAACTATACGTGCATTACTGTATATAATTTCACAATTCTACAACATCGATGCTACAGATACATATCCCTTACATGAAACTCTTGGGAAAAGGGATGATCAGAATAGATCAAAGATAATATGAGTATACTATTTATACTTAACATCCCAAGCAAAATTTAGAGCATCATCTCATAATCAAACACATTAATTTCTGAGGTGAAACATGAAATTCTCATAAATTGGAATAAATGAAAAACTATAAAGGATTGAGTTTTCTAAATAAGTTAGAAAATCACTTTTGGCTTTCAAATCTTGGTTTCAGATTTGTGGATAAGGGACTGTGGATGGGTGCTATTGTGCTCGTTTGATACGTAAGGAAAATTACAGAGACTTAATTCAGAAGGATCTATTACAAAGTGATTCTTTAAAATGGTAAATAAAGATGTGGCAGAATCAAATGGATAGAGCAGTAATCAGGTGTTAGCAAAATGGAAGCTGATACCATCCCCAGGTCCAAAAGGGCAAGCAAGGGTGTAGTCGATGGGAATCTACTAGGAGAGAGTCCTGTAGAGATGGCTGCCTTGAGAGGACCCATGACTTTTCATAAAAGACCATATAGACTGAGGCAATGCTAGAGAAGGTGATAACTAGAGAAAGAGACACCCTAATCTCATTCAACCCTCTCCCTCTCATCTTTTGCTCAAGATTTCTGCTGCCTAAATCTATCTGGAACGCAGAGAACATAGGGGCCGGTTGATATTCATTCAAGTCAGCCATCTGTGGCCAAAGCAGGGTAAAGAAGGGTGGAGAGTGGATCTAGAGGGACAAACAGGGAACCCCCGATACCCACAGTGAGCAAATGACAGAGGCATGTCTTCCATCCTCACAATTTCATTGTTTTCATCACTGCATTAGTCATCAGTAGTAAGTAATGGTCAGTATAGTGATATTACACAAACCCTATGTCAGGAAAGGGCCGGAAGACTTGGAACTGTCTAACCTGGTGAAATGAAAGCTTGAGCAGGCATGCCTTGCAGGACTCTCATGTAAGAGAAATGCATACCTGCTCTGCATTACAAAACTAAAATTAATACGCAGGTAATTATAGGGAGGTGAAGTTTCAGCTCCATGTAAGAAACACTTTTCAGTAATTAACGCTGCCCAACATTGCTGATCAAAAGTTGGGTGAGCCCCAGTATTCATGGTGTATTCATACTTCAACATCATATACATGTATACAGCAACATTTGTCATTTGCAGTTCTCATGGGTGGCTCTATGAAGCGCAAAGAAAGGGACTATGCATTATACTATGATAACAGCTTTACCATGAATTGCCCCATCTGCTTTTTCTTATCACTTAGAATAGGGGAAGAGTGCCATCACTTAGATGGCAGCAGTATAGGGATTTAGGTGTTACCGCCACAAGTCTTACAATGAGTCATACGGTGCCCATAGATGTGAAATAACCTGCCCAAGTTAGTGGCAGAGGCAAACTAAAACCAGGATGTTTTGTGGTTCCATGTGAATGCTCTTCTCAATAAAGTTAAATAAATCTAATCAATACTATTTTAAAGAACAAAATAATACCTGCTTTTAAGCAGCTGACGATTGCTGGGGAAAATTACCACACAGAACAAATTGAACCATACACTCACATTTGCACTTAAAAGGGCCTGACTGTCCTGCCATGTTTCTCTCCATAAATACTATTTCAAACTTCTCAAAACTACTCTCCTCAAATCTCTAAAATGGCTCCCTTTCCCTGCCGTCTCTTTCAAGTTACCTCCCTTTTAAGAGTCAAAATTATTGAACAACCTGTCTACACCCACTGCCCCCATTTCCTAGCCACCCACTGTCTCCTCAACTTGTATCTGACTATAAGTGTCTGACCCATTCTACTATCAAGAGAGCCCTTGCCAAGATCACTTATGGCTTCCATAAGAGCTAGAGCTGCTCTGAAGCCCAGACAGGGGGGGCCTTGCCTTGGATTCTACATTGTAGTGAGCCCATTCTGGCCCCCCTCCAGCCAAGCCTTCTTCATAGGGTAGAAGTCTATGGCATCAAAATTATAGGCTCATCAGAGCCCATGACTTTCCTTCTAATGATCACTCCCAGAATTTTTTGCTCATATACAACCAAGGCTTTTTCAGAACTGGCAGGACTCTTCCCCACATTTACTGAATTGAGGCTGGGCCGGGAGGTGACAGGTAAAACTATTTGCAGAGAATATAGATGGAGCATGATGGGGAAGCCAAGAATTTCTCTACAGAGCCATTCAAAACCCCTAGTGGTGTGGGACTGGATCCGGGTTGGAACAGAAGAGGTCAAGTCCCAGATCAGTGACCAGAGATTTGTGACCAGTGGAATCTAAGAATTCTAAATTTAAACCCAACTACCCGGGTCATTTTCTTTCCTCTGGCTTCTTTCAAAATTTTCTCTCTTTTATTTTCTGCAGTTTGAATATGATATGCCTACGTGTAAACTGATTGATTGATTGATATTCATCCTTTTTGTGCTCTCTGAGCTTCCTCTATCTGTGGTTTTGTGTCTATCATTACTTTTGGGAAGTTCTCAGTAATTATTCCTTCAAATATTTCTCCTGTTCCTTTCTCTTACCTCTCTTTCCGATATTCCCGTTACACGTATACTACACTATTGTAATTGTCCCACAATTCTTGGATATTCTGTTCTTTTTTATTCTTTTACCCTATTTGCAATTCAGGTTTGGAAGCTTCTATGGACATTTCTTGAAGCTCAGTGATTTTTCCTCGACCTTGTCTAGTCTCTTAATGAGCTCGTTAAAGGCATTCTTCATTTCTGTTACAGTGTTTTTAATTTCTAGCATTTTCTTTTGATTCCTTATTAGCGTTTCCATCTCTCTACTTACATTACTCATGTTTTTGTATGTTGTCTGCTTTTTCCATAAGCATTTTAATCATAGTTGTTTTAAATTCTTGATCTGATCATTCCAACACCTCTGCTATGTCTCAGTCTGGATCTGATGCTTGCTCTGTCTCTTCAAACTACATTTTTTGTCTGTTAGTGTGCCTCATGTTTTTCTTGTTGAAAGCTAACAAGATATACTAGGTAAAAGGAACTGAGAAAAATAGCCCTTTAGTGTGAGGTTTTATGTTTTTCTGGCTAGGGGTTAGGCTGTGCTTACTGTGTGCTATAGTTATAAGTTTCAGAGGCTACAGCTTCCTCTGGTGTCTTTGTTTTTGTCTTCCCTTGTCTTTGAGTTTCTCTAGAGACTTCTTAAATAAGGTTTGTGATGTGCAGTTCTTCTAGGTGGATTCCCAATAACGTGCAGGACACTTTTGATGTGGTGGTAAGGTGTGTATGTTGGGAGACAGTGTTCTATAGTGCTGTGATTAGGTATCAGTATTTTAGTGAGCCTCTGCCCCGAACTTGACCTTCACAAGTCCTTCTCAGTTTTTTTTTTCCCCTCCTTAAGTGAGACAGGAGGAAGGGGCTGGAATTGGATATTTCCCTTCCCTTAAGTTGGTTAGGCTCTGGCAAAACAGTTTCCCTTTGAGCAGTTTTTGTTAAGAACAGAATGCTCTAGACATAATTCAAAATAGCTACTTTTCCCTTCCTCTCCTGTAAGGATGGAGGGATTTTTCTCTTCTATTCACTGTGAGAACCTGGTAGGTGTTCTGGAGATAAAACTCACAAAAGTGTGAGGGGTCTTCTTAAGACTGGGCCCCCATCCCCAGACTTTTCATCTCTCAAACTTGTCTACACTGAACCTAAAGCAAGCCATCAATTGCTAGGTTTTCCTACCCTAGAACTGACTGGTTCCAATGGAGTTTTCTGGGCTTCTGTTCTGGGAAGTTGTCATTCTCTGTATCTACCTGTCTGTCTCTCTAGAGACAGGAGGGCAGTGGTTTGCCCTGTGACCTCAATTCTCTGATGGATCAAAGAAGAGTTATTGATTTTTAGTTTGTTCAACATTTTCCTTGTTTTAAGGATGGGAGTGATAACTTCTAAACTCCTTATATGCCTCCGAAATGCTGGCCAAGCTCCATGCCCATAAATCAAGTGGAAGTTTTTCAGTCCACATTTGACCTGAACTCTCAATCATATTCAACAATACCATTCTTTCCCTTGTGCCTTTGCCTCTGACTCCATGCACTGAACCTCAGTGACTGGACATTTCCTTCTCATCTCAGTCTCTCTGACCCTGTTCTTCCTACAGCAGACTTTATCCTTCTGGCCATTCCCTCTCAGTCTCCTTTGCAGACTTCTCCTCTTCTACTTGCCATTAACTGTTGTCTTTCTTCCAAGCTTTTCTCCAGCCTCCTCCTCTAGGGCTATTTTCCATCCCTAGACAATATAATCCATGCTTAAGTGTCAGTTACCACTTACTAATCATGTGTCCCTGGGTAAGCAAGCAGATCGTTCTGAGCATCAGTCTTCTTATTTTGAAAAAGAGCTAATAGTATCAAATGTATTTTCTGAGGGTTGAGTACAATACTATAGAGAAATATATGTATTGCATGTGTATTTATTAGGTGCTCACTTTTCTTCATTTACATTTCGCCTTGGGTTTGGGCTCTCAGGTCACAGAATGAGGCGGAAATGGTATGTCGTCAAAGTATTCTTTTAATGTTGTCTTAAAGTGTGTTGTACGCATCTGAGATCTCACAGTGGCTCCAGGTTTCCACATGGTCTGGTCTCATTACCTCTCAGCCTCATCCATTTCCACCCTCACCTTGCTCCCTGCCCAGTGACACTGGCCTCATAACTCTGGGCTTTGGTACTTATTTCTCCCTCTGCCTGGAGTGTCTGTGCCCCATCCACATCCTAGCCTTCCCTGAACATGGTACTCCTTCCTTCCTCCCCCCATAACTCTCCTCCATAGCTCTTTTCACTGACATTTACTACCTTTTATTTAATTACTTTTCATTATCTTCGTCTCATCCATTAGAAACTAAAGTCTGTGAAGGCAGGGCTTTGTCTGTTTTATTCACTGTTGTATTCCCAGGGCCTAGAATGGTTCATGGTACATAATGGACATTTAACCAATACTTGTCAGATGAATGAATGCAATTCTGGAAGCCTAACTACTGAGTACTACGTACTCCCTGTCCTAACAGAGGATTCCTTATGATCAGATCATTAGTATAAAAAACAGAAAAACAACAAATAATTTGGCAAACTCTTATGGGACTTGGACAATCCCTAAGGCCTGGTCTGCATCTTAGGAGCATAGCTAAGGCCTAGCTCTCAAAACTGGGTGATTGGGGCTTCCCTGGTGGTGCAGTGGTTGAGAATCTGCCTGCTAATGCAGAGGACGTGGGTTCGAGCCCTGGTCTGGGAGGATCCCACATGCCACGGAGCAGCTAGGCCCGTGAGCCACAACTACTGAGCCTGCGCGTCTGGAGCCTGTGCTCCGCAACAAGAGAGGCCGCGATAGTGAGAGGCCCGCGCGCCGCAATGAAGAGTGGCCCCCGCTTGCCACAACTAGAGAAAGCCCTCGCACAGAAACGAAGACCCAACACAACAAAAATTAATTAATTAATATACTCCTACCCCCAACATCTTTAAAATAAGATTGATTTTAAAGTAAGATTTAACTTAAAAAACAAAACAAAACTGGGTGATTGTCAAGCCCTGTGTGGGCTCAGCTATGCCGTACTCTCACAGTAGAACACATTAGGAATCTGTAGAGATGATGGCCTAAGAGCCGGGAGGCCCAGCTGTCCTGCGTGGAGAAAAAAGAGGCTAGGAGATCAGGAGAGGCCAGAGGGTTTACCACCATTTCTGTAAAATTCATTCTGTTGAGAGAGGCAGCTATGGATACAGAGAAAACTATCAAAATGTGAGCTTTGTTGCAAAGTTCCAAAAAAGAAAAGAGGAGTCTAGGTTCTCAGACCAATAATGAAAAATGCCAGTTTGGAAAAGAAACTCACCATAGACAGAAGCAATTCCAATTCTAACTTGTCCTGTTCCAATAGGTGCTTGTGGTTGTGCCTTAAGTCTTCTCTGGCTCGTTCTGTTTTATGAGGACCCAAAGGACCACCCATGTATAAGCAAAAGTGAGAAGGAATACATCACGTCTGCCCTCGCCCAGCAGGTAGAACACGCATGCTCCACTTTGGTATCTCCCAGATTCTGTGCCAAATAAAATGTGTTCCATCTTGTCCTAATGTGCTAATGATTAATGGGTTCCTTTTCAGGTCAGTTCAAGTGCACCATCTCTGCCCATCAAGGCTGTGCTTAAGTCTCCTCCACTCTGGGTCATTTCCCTCTGTAATTTTGCTTTTTTCTGGGCAAATAGCTTCCTGAGTCTGTATATACCAATGTTTATCAACTCCAAGTTTCATATTAATGTAAAAGAGGTAAGTACACCTTCTGTTCTTCACTTTATGAAGGACTTTGCACCCATTTCCTTTTCTCCCATGACTCTAGTCCTAGCTCTTGCCCACCCCTATACTACTTAGCTGATGTTCTTTACCTGGAGACGTCACTGTTTCCAATTATTAGGTCAACATTGCCCAGAATAAAAGGTGTAGACATGGTGTCTAGCACTCCCACAACAATACACACTCACCCACATTCCCACAGATTCCCTATCTCCCATTCCCTGTATAATCACCCTTATGTATTCCTTAAGGCTCAACACCATTGTTCCCTGCAGGGTCCGATCCTTTCCTGAAAGTCAGTTGGCCAGGCTCTAACACCCTTTCCAGCTCATACCAATCCTCTCCCCTGGGGAAAGGCAAAGAGTCCTGGGCTGTGAACCCATGACTCACAGCTTGCTCTGAAAGGACTGACACTTTCACTGGTTGTCTGACTTGGAGAATTACTGATGCCTGGAACCTTCTGTTGTTTGATGCCATAATAACCAGAAAAGACTCCTTTAGAAATGGAGTCTGGGCTTGCCATTTTGAGACATTCTATAATGAACTTCCAGTAACCCAGCTTAGTGATCAGTGTAACAGTGAGGTCACTTAAGCTCTCTAAGATTCAATTTTATCTTCCATGAGATCATGGATTTGCTGCAAGGATTAACAGCAGCTGGGTCCACAATAAGCACCATATACATGTTTTCAATTGTTATCATTATCATTTCTATCACTTTCCCCACAGACAGCATTTCCCATTCCCAACATAGTTTTCCTCTCTACCATCTAGGACTTTCAGGTCCCAACAGAAAACTAGGCAGACTGTGATGACTGTTTCTGACGTCCAAACGGTTTTTCTCTTTCTCTTGGGTAGTGTGTCCCCAGAAGTAACTCTGGGATTGTACGTTGATGGTTTCCTATATGACAATACAAATTTTAGATACTGAATTTCAGTGTAGGGCTTATCCTGTTTCTCATACTCACTCACAATAACATTCCTTCCTCAGAATGGGCTGCTGTCTTCCCTCCCCCATTTGTTTGCCTGGATTTTTGCTATCCTAGCAGGTCATATGGCAGACGTCTTCCTGTCCAGGAATATTCTCAGCCTACTCACCATCCGGAAACTCTTCACCTTGCTAGGTAAGAAGCCAGGACATTCAAGCACTTTGGGGCATTTCACGCCCATCTTTGGGATACACCTGACTGTTGTCTGAATCACTCCCCAGGACTTCTCCTGCCCGCCCTCTTCAGCCTGTGCCTGCTTTACCTGAGTTCCAGCTTCCATGGCACTATGATTTTCCTGATACTTGCTAATGCAACAGGAAGCTTTTGTATGGGTGGAATATTAATAAATGTCTTGGATATTGCTCCCAGGTAGGGTTTTAAAAATCTCTTTCTTCCTTGTATCCAAGTTCTCAAAGTTTTAAGATTTCAAGTATTTTGGAACTGGTGGTCAGCAGGCCAAAATTCCGAAGAAGCATCTATGTGGGTCAGACATATAACTTAAATAATATTTATATGCCAAATGATATATGCAAATGTATGCAACTCTCACATGTGTATGAAGAAGTATAGTCCAGTGATCAGGAGAACAGATTCTAGAGTCAGACTCTTGGGTTTCATGACCATTTTCCTCAAGCCAATTACTTACTTTCTCAACACCTGTTTCTCACCTATAAAATGGGGGTAATAAGAAAATGCTTACCTCATAAAGTTATCCTCACAAGAGGATTAAACAAGTTAATATAGTCAAGCACATAGAATAGTGCCTGGAACATAGCAAGCATGTATAAGGGTTAACTGATCCATTAAAATTGTTATTATACCATGCTTATATATTATTACTCATGAAGAAAAGCCATCAGTTAGTAATATTTATCTTGTAACTAAGGAAACTGAGTTTCAGATACTTAATTTTCAGCCTAAGATCTCATCACTGGCTTGGATATTAGCTAGGACTTTAACCCAGATCTCTGTGACAAAGAACTTTTCCTCTTTTTACTATGTTATGTCTTTTTTTAGATATAATAAGTGTGACTGATGGAAGCAGTTCTGTCATTTGCACAACTGCAGGGGACACTCTTCACATTGTACTTTATGGGGCTAGCAGTCTCTGGAGAACATAGATCCAATATGAACAGAATTATTTGGAGCTTTGTAAAGCAGTAGCCTGGGGTAGAGAGGCAAAAAGAAACCAAGAATAATCTACTTTGTCACAGTTCTGTAAAGAATCTTGCCCATCAGATCTATACTAGGTGAAGGCCAGAGTAATGAAGACATGTATCCATTTGATTTATTGAGTTCTGAGACCCTCCTTAAAAATGCCTGCAGGTATTCTGATTACTTGGAATTATATAAAGACATAAACGGATTATTTGATGTAGAATACACAATGCCACCTGAGCCATATGCACTCTGAAAAACAGGTAAATTAAGAATGTATATACAAATAGATAAAGGAAATTATAAATAGCTACCACTTATTGAGTATTTTTTATGTGTCTGTTATGCCCCAGTGTGAGACAATATTGTCCACATAGTGTGGGTAAGGAAACAAAAGACCAGGGAAATGAATGTATATAAAGTCACATGATTAGTAAGAAGTAGAGGGAAGGTTCATACCTAGAATGTCTGCCTCCAGAGCCGTCTCGATGTAGTCAATGCCTCACTAGTGTTATTTACCAGTACCTGGTCACTAAGATGGGAAATATCTCAGCCAGCAATGGCTTGGGTAACATAGAACTTGACCTGAGTTGCATCATTCTAATGGGCCCAAATACCATGTTAGTCAGGTAATTTTGTAGCATCAGAGAAGATATACTAATAGACAATTTGGGAATATTCTTAGTCTCTTAAGCTAATTCATCCTCAATATTTAGGGCATATGTGCATTATGTCACAAACATATTAATTTATAATGCTTAAACTTTTTAATGGTTGGGGATAAAACTTATTCCTAATATTCCTAACCATATACTTCCCTTGCCTATTAAAAAGAGTCCCCTTAGAGGATAAATTACTCAACTGTCCTTTTAGGGGAATTTGGTCTTTGCTAGAACTGAGGAATAGAGCAAGTGATTATATTTTTTGAGCATAACGAAGGCGTCAAGGAAGAAGAGGAGACACAGGTGTGGTTCTGTGAGAATATTGTTTGGGAAATGAAATTGAGTGAGACAGAGAAGACATGGGAATGTAGTGACCATCTCTTTGGTGGATAGCATGAGTAGAAAAGCACAGATGTGCTTAATGTGATGCATTAAGCAGGCACTGTCATCCCCTTGACATTCTTAAAAGGAGGCTCCAAAATTTTTTTAATTGCTTTTAATTATTTTTGACTGATGGATGGGTCATGCACCCTTGAATTTCCCCCCATGTGGGACTGAAGTATAGTTCAGGTATCTGAATCTTATTTAGGTTCTACTAAATCATTATTACACCAAAATATAAAATCAATTAAATTGAAAGTCAACTTCAGCAGCTATTCACCCTTCCAAAATGCTTTTACCATGGGTTATTGCAGCTGAAGAATAAACAGTTTTAGAGCTAATAGCTTTCCAGGAAACTGTCCGGCATTAAAATAATCTCAAGGTTGTTTTCATTCCCCATATCAAATACCTATTGTTTGGGATTTTGGTGGCATGAGGTATGGAGCATATAAAGCTCTCACCTTGCTACTCTCAGATTAGCGAACTGCTCCATACTGTGGATGTGTAATGATTTTCAGAGTAATTGTCCTGGCACTCAGGACTCTTGACACTGGGGATTTTGTTTATATCTCTAATTATGGAATGAAAGCACCTCTTTCAGTAAAAATAGGTTAAATCCTTTCCCACCACCACAGCACGCCAAAGACTTCTGAATCTGAAAAGAGAGCATAGTCATTAAAGGTGCTATAGTTACTGAATATATAATAGGATAAATAAAAAGAAAGCCACACCTAGACTTGTTATTGCAAAACTGTGAAAAAAGAGAGAACTCTTAAAAACAGCTGTATACAAAAGACACATTACTTTCAAAGGAGCAATAGTAATACTGACAACTGTCTTCTCAACAGAAACTATGAAAGCTAGAAGCCAATTCCTAACATGTTACAAAAAAAAAAAAAATCATTGTTAACCTAGAAGTCTTTGTCCAGCAAACACTTCCTTCAAGAATTAAGGTAGGGGCTCCCCTAGTGGCACAGCGGTTAAGAATCCGCCTGCCAATGCAGGGTACACAGGTTCAAGCCCTGGGCCGGGATGCTCCCACATGCCGTGGAGCAACTAGGCCCGTGAGCCACAACTACTGAGCTTGCGCGTCTGGAGCCTGTGCTCCGCAACAAGAGAGGTCACGATAGTGAGAGGCCCGCGCACCATGATGAAGATTGGCCCCCGCTCGCCGCAACTAGAGAAAGCCCTCACACAGAAACGAAGACCCAACACAGCCATAAATAAATAAATTTATTAAAAAAAAAGAATTAAGGTAATATAAAAACATTTTTCAGACAAACTGGGAATTCATCAGCAACAGACCTCCAGTGAAAGAATTATTAAATGAGAATTCTTCAGGCAGAAGTAAAATAATCACAGATGAAACATAGAGGTATAGAAACAAATGAAGAGAGATGGAGAGGAAAAATATTAGAGTAAATCCAGTAATTACTGAATTCACAAAACAAAAACAATAATAACCTATAGGGTATAAAATATATAAATTAAAATGCATAACAATAAATAGCACATAAGATGAGAGGGTATAAGTGAATTGAAGTGTCCCAAGGTGCTTTCATTAATGGGAATTTTTTAATATTAATTTATATTAGAGCATAATAAGTTGAGGATACATGTTTTACTCTCTAAGGTAACTACTGAGGGATAATAAAAGTGTAAAGGGAATGATATTTAAAAATACAATTAATGAAAAAAATCAAATGAAATTATAAAGAAAGATAGGATAGAAGGGGAAAAAATAGAATGATGATCATTTTAAGTCAAATGTGGCAGAAAAACATGAAATATAAAAGAACCAATTCTTCCAAAGTTTAAGTTAACCTTGATTGAAATAAAAGCAAAAACAAAATTAAAGTAGATTAAAAGTAAAATAAAGGAAACTAGATCAGCCAATGTAGATTTTAAGACAAGATACATTACTAGAGATAAAGAAGGATATTTTATAATTATTTTAATATACTAGAAGATATTTCTATGCATCTAACATTTTACAACCATAAAGCAAAATTTGAGAAAACTCGTAAACCTCCTCATGGGATTGAGCAGCTTGTGTATGACTGATATTCTGGCTGAGAAAAACTGGAAAAGTCCAGATAAAATACCATGAGTGGGCTTCCCTGGTGGCGCAGTGGTTGGGAGTCCGCCTGCCAGTGCAGGGGGCGCGGGTTCGTGCCCCGGTCCGGGAGGATCCCGCGTGCCGCGGAGTGGCTGGGCCCGTGGGCCATGGCCGCTGAGCCTGCGCGTCCGGAGCCTGTGCTCCGCAATGGGAGAGGCCACAACAGTGAGAGGCCCACGTACCGCAAAAAAAAAAAAAAAAACCACAAAATACCATGAGTATTCACTAAAAGATATCAGACAGCAGCAGAAGCCAGTAGGACCAAAGACATCAGAGGCTAGCACCTCTGAGAGGTGAGCTGACAATCCCCACCATTTTCTCCTTGGGGCTACTTGCCAATTCTGGAGATTGGCAAAAGGCTGATAATCCAGCTTTGGCCCTGGTAGAAGCCTGCAGCTCTGGACATAGAAATTAGCCAAGCATTTGTCAGTTGCACAGGGCTAGAGTGGCAAAATTGGAAATTAAGGGAACTTAAACACAAAGTCAGTTTCTCTCCTTGAGATGTTTTTTGAATTCTGAAGTTTAATAGGGTAAGGGGCAAAAAAAGTCTAAGCTAAAAATCAATAAGAAACATGGCAGAATTTCCCATACCATCTGTGCTAAGGAGACAAGCTCTACCAGGGCCTGGTGGGACCCAGCTGAGTATGCCAATCTCTCTATTTAACACCATGGAGGGCTATATTCAAGGAACAGGGGGTACCAGAGGTAAACTGAGTCTTATCAAAATTGAAGCCTAGCCTCATCTCATTTCATTCCCTACTTAGGTTAGAGTGTTCAATTTCCTCCCCTCCAAATCTATCAGAGAAAAGAGTAAATCTTTTCTGGCAAAATACAATATATTCTAAAGTCTATAACTTCTTTATTTAATGTCCATCATTAAATAAAAATTATTAGGCATGCCAAGGGACAGGGCCATTTGATTAATAACCATAAAATGCCATTAGAAATAGTCATACAAATGATACAGATATTAAAGTTATCAGGTAAGGGCCTCCCTGGTGGTGCAGTGGTTAAGAATCTGCCTTCCAATGCAGGGGACACAGGTTCGATCCCTGGTCCAGGGAGATCCCACATACCGCGGAGCAACTAAGCCTGTGTGCCACAACTACTGAGCCCACATGCCAAAACTACTGAAGCCCACGAGCCTAGAACCCATGCTCTGCAACAAGAGAAGCCACCACGATGAGAAGCCCCCACTCGCTGCAACTAGAGAAAGCCCGCACGCAGCAGTGAGGACCAAATGCAGCCAAAAATAAATAAATTTAAAAAAAAGAAACTCTCAGATCTTTATTAAAAATAGATAAATAAAAATAAAGTTATCAGGCAAAATGAACGTCAAAATATCTATGATAATATACCCAAGAAACCAGGGAGAAAGCTGACGAAAATAGATGAAAAGATAAACAATTGACCAGCACTGGAATCTATAAAAACAATCAAATGGAAATTCTAGAACTGAAAAATAAAATGTCTAAAATTAAGATCTTCATAGATAGGTTTAATAACAAATTAGCCACAAGAGAGTATAGATTGGTAAACTGGAAAACATTAACAAAGTCCAAATTGAAACATATAGAGAAAAGAATAGAAAATAAAGAAATAAGCAGAAATGTGGAATTAAGTGAAAAGGCTAACAAATCTGTACTTAAGTCTCAGAAGGAAAAAACAGATAAAATGTGACATAAGCAGTATTCTAACAGAAAACAGCCCCAAATAGCTCAAAAGTAATAAAAGACCATAAGCCACATATGCACAAAGCTCTGCAAATTTAAATCATGACACAATATAAATTTATATATATATATATATATAAAATATATATAGTAAGAATGCTGAAAGTCAAAGACAAAAATCTTAAAAGGAACTAGAGAGAAAAGACATGCTACTTTTAAGTAGCAAGAATAAGCCTGACATCTGACTTTTCAACAGAAACTATGAAAACCAGAAGATAATGAAATGAGTTCTATAAAATGCTGAAAAATAAATGCCAACCTAGAATTTTATGCCTAGTGAAAATATTCTTCAGAAATCAAAGCAGGGCTTCCCTGGTGGCACAGTGGTTGAGAGTCTGCCTGCCGATGCATGGGACATGGGTTCGTGCCCCGGTCCAGGAAGATCCCACATGCCGCGGAGCGGCTGGGCCCGTGAGCCATGGCCGCTGAGCCTGCGCGTCCAGAGCCTGTGCTCCACAACGGGAGAGACCGCGACAGTGAGAGGCCCGTGTACAGCAAAAAAAAAAAAAAAAAGCAAAATAAAAATGTTTTCAGACAGGCAAACAGAGAAATTTTCATCAGCAGATTTTCACTAAAAGAAATATTAAAAGTGATTTTTCAGTCAGAAAGAAATTATCCCTGATGAAACCTGAAAATGCAAGACAGACTAAGGAGCAATAGGGGGGTAAATATGAGTGTAATTAGGAGACCATTGATCTTTAAAACAACAGAGCATCTTATGAGTTGAAATGCATATAGAAATAAAATACACTAAAGAATGAAAATACAGGATGAACTAATGCAAAGAACTAAAAATTCTCATATTCTGGCATTATGAAAATAGTAAAAGTATAATTCATAATAAACTTAAGTAAAGTGCATGTTATATCTTCAGTGCTGAAAAGAATAGTGAAATGTCATAGAAGGAAAAATGAAATGAAAATGGATTAATCTAAAAGAAAAAATGTGCAATGAGAAAAAGGGTAGGTCAAATAGAAAATAAATAGCAGATAATCACAAATACATCAGTAATTATATTAAATTAATATGGATGAAATACTCCAAGTAAGTATCAAGATTTTCAAGCTCAATAAAAAAGGAAATGCAGCTCTATGCTGCAAATAAAAGACAAATTAAACATGAGGATACAGAAAGGATGAAATAAAAGGATGGGTAAAGATATGCCAAACAAATATTAACCCAAGGAAACCTGGAATAAATATGTTAATAGTTATTAACTATGTTAATATCAAATAAAATAGACTTTAATATTTCATAATGGTAAAGAGAAAAATATCAGAATTCTACTTCTTTTGGAACCCAATCATACAGCTTTAATTTATACTCATGAATTGAGCAAACTCAAAGAACTAGACAAATTTACAATGAAAGAAGAGACTTTCACATACTTCTTTCAATAGCTTATACCAAAAAAGAGGTAGACAAAAAAGATATGGATGATTAAACAACAACAACAACGAACAGAGTTGACCTAATTGACATATGTAGAATACTGCACTCAATAAGGAGAGAATTCACATTCTTTTCAGTTGCCCATGGGACATTTTTTCTGAAATTAACAATATGCTGGATCATAAAGCAAGCTGCAATTCATTTTAAATGACTAAAATCATTCAGAATACATTCTTTAATCACTGTGAAATTAAGGTTGCTATCAAAAGCAAAAGATAAGTAACTCCCATTGCTTTGAAACTAATGTTTAGGTCAAAGAAGAAATCGCATTTGAAATTAGAAAGTATTTTAAATTACAATGAAATATGACATATCAAAGCATGTGGGATGCATTTAAAATCATGCCCAGAGAAATATATAGCTTTAAACATATATACTGAAAGACAATTAAGTCTTAATGTCAATAATCATGTTTGTATCTCAGGTATTATAGGTAGGGGAAAAAAGCAGCAAATTAAACCCAAAGAAAGTAGAAGGAAAGAAATTATGAAGAGTAGGACAAAAAAATGATATGTAAAGCCAACAATATCAAAAGTTGCTTCTTTGAAAATTAATAAAATTAGTGAAATAAAGATTGATCAAGAAAAAGGAAAAAATTATCAATATAAGCGATGAAAATGGCTGCATTGTAATAACTCTTAGCACATAATAAAGAAAATAACAGAATATTATAAACAAGTTCATACCAATAAATCTGACAATTTAGATGAAATTGAAAAGTTCCGCAACACATAGAGTCATAAAATTGTAAGTATTTTTTGTGGTGGAAGGTGATTATGAAGGCAAAAGTAACAAGGGCTCCCAAAGGCATAAGTGACCCTATTACCACTGAAAACTCAGGAGTTCTATTGCTAAAATGAAAAAGGAAACAGTGAATACTGGAGACAAGTGATGGTTTCTGCCCCAATCTGCACCTGTGGCTGCTCATAACCATAAATCTTCTTCACACATTAAAAGACACTTTCCATCTCCCCCAAAAAAGAAACAACTCAAATTTCCACCATGTGACTGCATACAGCTCCACAATCCAAGGACTCTAGGTCCAGATGTGATGCTTCTCTGACCCAGGACCCATAAACTAATAAACTATACACTCCCTCCCATATTCAACAGGTAAAGGCAGAGTAAGAATGGAAAAGACCCAAGGAAATAAAATAAGAGAGCAAAACAAAAAAAAAGCCCTCACTCTCATAAAAGGCAAGAATTGAAAACAGGGAACATTTTATGGTGAAATCTGTTGGACAGGAAAGGCACAGACTCCCTGCCCTGGAGTGAACTAATTTCTTGATTAGACATGGATTCTGTTCTGCAAGAGGTACTTCCTTGTTCTTTATGGCTGATGGATTTGATCCCTACTTTATCTATTATTCTCTGTGGCTTCCCTGCTTTTGTAGCTCCACTTTCTGCTGAAGTTGGTTTTGGCGCTCAGGAATGGCCAATCACAGTTGCTTGTAAAGAAGTCTCTGGTTTCCTTGCCTGAATAATGGGAGCAATCATAGCGGCCAGTAATTCTGGGACTGTGAGAATAGGTCAGGTGAACAGAGCCCTTCAATTTTGTATTAATCCCAAACCTGTTCCTATTACCAACACACATCACCTTTGGAATTTCTCAACTGTATTTATAGATTTCCTAACTCTGCTGGCTTTTACTCTAATATGGCCTCATTTTCTCAATATATTACTATTCTTTACTGCTAAAGCCAACCTTTCTGGCTCTGCAGTGCAACCAGAAAGTTACTTATATCCATATACTTTTTCAGACATTTTTAATGGAATTTGAATAGTGGAAATGGGAAATTTAGGAAGTCAACAGTTCTCTCTCTTAAATCTCATTTCATTAGGTTTTTCCTGCAGTACTTGTATTACTTTACATCTGTGTATTGTCATTCATTTTTGTATAGATATTACGGATTTCTTAAAGGATTTACAAATGTAATTGGACTAACAGGAGGACTAGTTGCTTCCACTGTGACTGGAGTGATCCTTAGTCAGGTAAGGAACACCCAGACATGGGTAGTTATTTTTCTCATATTAACTGTACAGAAAAAGAAAGTGTAAGGCATACAAAAAGTTGCAGAGGAGACATCAGCAAGAGGTGAGTTATGAGTTTTTGTGTCATATTAAACTTGGCATTCCCTCCAAACATACAGAGGATACAAGTTCTTTCTTGCTATATGTCAATTAGTTGTGATGGTAACTCTTTAATCATTGGTTATTGAAACAGAAGTGGACCTCTGTGATTTTTAACAATTAATGTGTGCCTTTATCAAAACAGGTAGTTGACTGGGTGAATGGTAATATAAGTAAGAAGTTATAGTTTTGTCAGGAAAGGAATGAAAAATCAGGAACAAATACAATTTTAAAATGACCAAAAGAAACAATTCTATGAAGGCTGGCTTCTGTTCCTATGGATGAGGTTACCTGAAATTCTCCTCTTAAAAATACTTAAAATGCCTTATCTGGTGCTGAAGGAAAATAACTGCTAGTCTAGAATTCTACAATCCACCAAAAAAAAATCCATCATAAAAAATGAAGTTTAAATTCATCCATTTTCAAACAGAAACAGAGAATTCATCAGAAGTAGGCTAGCACTGAGAAAAAAAGCTAGTTTTTTAGGGAGAAATAAAATTATCCCAGATGGTAGATTGGAGATACAAAAAGGAAAAGAGGCAACAGAAATGATCAATATGTGTATGATTCTACAGGAATATTGTATAAATTGGTAGTATTATGTAAAGAAACTCTGGTTCTCAAAGCTAGTTACCTAGTGGAGGCAAAACCACTATCATCACCCAGGTGATAACTGGAAACACATGCATGTTCCTCAACCATCACATTTATTCTGACTTTTCTTCTTAAGCCACAGATAATTTACCTGCTAACCATTAATACTAAGTTTCTTTATTATTTGTTACATTAGTTCACCTTTGACCAGGATTTATTGATCTGTTATGATGACTCTGTTCTAATACACCTGAATATGCTTTCTCCAACACACTATATTGCAAATGGCTGTACAATCTTTGCCAACACATTTTGATGAATTCTATGGTCCCAGAATCTAATAATGTATATTCAAAAAATTTTAAATGCCTTATCAAATTTTAACAATCATGTTAAATGCATGCCTGATCTTGAGAAAAAAAAAAATAAGGGAAAATTTCAGAGATTGAACATGAAGGAAGAGCTTGATTCCAGAGAGGTAAATGACCATCAAAGCCACTGGCTGCCTTGGAGAAATTGCCCATCCTGAGTGTTATAATGGACACCCAGTTATAATGGACAAACAGAGCATAAGAGATAATATCCCAAAACCACTCATAAAAGAAGAGTCAGAATGAAAATGCTGATATATATCTGTAACCACTAAGGACTACAACCTCACACCACTACTACCATGTAGCTCATATATAAACTTGGAGGAAAGTTTTGGAGGAAAATCTCCAAGCTGAGAGAGAGCAGTGTTCAGGCAAATACTCCAGTTGCTCCTTGTCCCACAACTTTGGCCAAGGAGAGACAATTTGTACTCACCGTGGCCAAATTTCCCATAGAGAGGAGCCCCCCCCACACACCATCATGTGCTAGGACTTATGGTATCAGAAAGGCTAGAAACATCACTATAACCATGGAACACCCCTGATCAGAGAGGTAGCCTTATTAAAAAAGAACTCCAGGAGACCAGGGTCTGTTTTCTCCCCCTGAGCATGGAGCCCACTCAGCCTGTTCTTCCAATGAACTCATTCAGACCTGCTGAGCTGACTTCCCCCAAAGGTGGCAGGAAACATGGCTCCAGAACTGTCCGAAGTTGTCTCTGCCCAGTGAGGAAACTTATCTATTTCAGCCTCAGCTACAAAGGGAGAGGAAAAACTGAATAAAGACTCTTCTGAACGTTTGAAACAATAAACCAATCTTCACAATGGTTTGAGGCCCTAATTCAAATTCTGTTGTGTCCAAATGCCATAAGCCAAGGATTGAATTTCTAGTAGTCCACAGATGCCTAGTAAAAGTAAATAAAATTTTTTTTTTCTGGAGAAACTCTAAATTCATACTCCAGAATTTCCTTGTGCATAAAGTTTTGGTGAATATGATTTTACAGTCAATCAAAAATTATAAAATGCTTGAGGAAATAATGTGTTATGTGAGAGATGAATAAAAACCACCAAATCAGATCCTCAGAGATATTGGACATATATGTATATATTTAGAGAAGTAAAAGAGAGGATTGAAAATATAAATAAAATATAAATAAGAAAAAATATATAAATATAAACTTAAGAAACATAAGTTTAGGGCTTCCCTGGTGGTGCAGTGGTTGAGAATATGTCTGCCAATGCAGGGGACACAGGTTCGAGCCCTGGTCTGGGAAGATCCCACATGCCACGGAGCAACTAGGCCCATGAGCCACAACTGCTGAGCCTGCGCATCTGGAGCTTGTGCTCCGCAGCAAGAGAGGCCATGACAGTGAGAAACCCATGCACTGCAATGAAGAGTGACCCCCTCTCGCCGCAACTAGAGAAAGCCCTTGCACAGAAACGAAGACCCAACACAGCCATAAATAAATAAATAAATAAATAGCTTTCCCTTTAAAAAAAGAAAAAAAGAAAGAAACATAAGTTTAGACAAAGAGCTAAATCTAACCTCTGGCAATTAAAAATATAAAAATTCAGATTAAGTACAGCTAATAAGAGAATTAGTGAAGCTTCTGCCTCCATTAATGGGAGGGTAAGTAATTTGGACCAATTCTCTTAAGAAAGACAATTTAAAAGCCTGAAAAAATGTATAAACCTACATGCACAACAATTTTACTCCTTCCATAAGGGAGTCAACAGACATCCAAAGTCCCACCTAGTTATGGCATCAAGTTCAAAGTGCAGAATGTATCACCCTTTACTGGGGGATAATGCATAATGGCCCTCTATATCAGGAATTACGTGCTCCATCATGCTGTATACAATGATAGCATAGCAATCCAATAACTGCAATAAATACTTCCTTTCAGAAAAGGAGGATTGGAAAAGAAATAGCAATCATTTGTCCTTAGTAATGCTGACACACTGCTAGGCAGACATTTTGAGAGTCACATCCTGATTAATGTTTGAATGTTCTTCAGTCAGCCTCTGAAACAGATGAAGGTAGGGACTGGAGGGTCTTTGGAGTGGTCTCCCTTGATTAGTGTGTTTGGCATAGAGGAAGGTGAGTGAATCCAATGTTTGTGGAGCAGAGAGCAGGCTGGAAAGTAACTATTGCAAATACAATAATTTTTTGGTTCTCCTCTTGGGCATTTCCCCACTTCCTTGAAGTTAGATATATTTATATAACTTATTTTGGCCAGTGACACATGAGAGAAAGTGATATGCATTCATTCTGAAGAGAAGCACTGAGAACTAAGAGGCCACTCTCTCGGACACAGCAACTGGCAACAATCAGAATGTCAACTGCAACTCCGTTGACCAGGATCCAGGAATGAAGAGATGTGGAGCATAACCTCTAGCCAACTTGCTATGGACATTTAGTTTAAACAAAAACCAAATCTCTGCCATTAAAAGCCACTAGGAATTGCGGGTGGTGGGGGGTGGTGGGGTGGGTATTGGTTACTGTAGTATAACCTACTCTATCTTGACTGGTCAGGAGGATCTATCCTCCTGACCACATGAATCACCACATGAATGAATCACATTAAGAAAAAAAGTATAGAAAATATAAAATATGTGGACTCAGTGAGAAGGCCCAACATACATTTAACTGGAGTTCCAGAAAACAGAATAGGGCAGAAGTTAAATTTGAAGAGAAAATGATTGTTTTCTAGTTTTTCAGAAATATAGCAATTCACATCTTTAAGAACTACATTAATGACAAGTAGGATAAACAAAAGAAATCCACAGTTGCACACCTCATAGAGAATTTACAGAAAAGTAAAGACAAAAAGAAAGTCATATAAGCAGTGAGAGAAATAAGAAAGGTTGCCTTCAAATGAACAACAGTTAAACTAATCTCTGACTCTTCATCCACAAAAAAAGAAGCCCAGAAGACAGTAGAATGATATCTTCAGTATACTAAATGAAAATAACTGCCAACTTAAATTTGTAAACTCAGTGAAAATATTTTTTTAAAGGAGATAACATATTTCAAGCAAACAAAAATCAAGGAAGTTCAATTCATTAATGGGCATTTAAAGAATGTTTTTAAGCACAAGAAAGTTGGAGGTACAAACAGGAATGAAGAACAGTAAAAGTGGTGTGTGCAAATCCACTTATTTACTTATTTGTTTTATTGTACAAAATAATAAAAGTGTCTTGTGGAGTTTTAAAAAAACTACGTGTATAGAATGAATGAAGTAGAGTAGACAGTAACAATATTTAATTAATCAGGAGAGGATAAATGGAATAAATTATTCCAAAGACTTCATGTTCTCTTGCCATAGGATAAAAGTATTAATAGAGTTTGGTGCACCAAGGATACATGTTGTAATTTCTAGGGTAATAATTTTTAAAATACAGAAAAATGTGTATAAATTTCAAAGTAACTGGAAAATGAAATAAAAAGCACTTTCTTTAATAAAAGAGGGCAAGACACAAGAGAAAAAGCAATATAGACCAGGAGTTGTCAATGTAAAGCTAACAAAATAAGTAGGTAACTTAAGATACATCACTATTCAGAGACTACAGAATTATTCTCCAGCTTTCGTTTTTAAATTGCATAAGTGTGTGTGTATGTGTATTAAAATAAAAACCACATAACATAAATTTACCCTCTTAACAAATTTTGAGTGTACATTACAACATTGTATAGTTAGTATTGTTAACTATATGCGCATCGTTGTATAATAGATCTTTAGAATTTTGTCATCTTGCATGATTGAAGCTTTATACCCACTGAACAAGAACTCCCTGTTTCCCCTCCTCCTGGACCCTCTAATTTTTTAATACATAAAGATTAGTATTAAATTCGGGGGTTATGTATATTAAAATTCCAAGACATAGAGTGTGGAACTTTCAAACCAGGAGAGAGGGAAAAACATGGAATAAAAAAATTTTTTTAGAAGGAAGAAAAAGCCCCTCAATGTGAAAGAAGGCAAGAAATGGTGTGGGGCTTGGGGGTAGGACTATAGGTAGAAGACAGGACAAATTGAAAGCACAAAGACAGATGGTAGAAATAAATCCAAATATACCAAAGATCGCAATAAATATAGATGGACTAAACTCTGCAATTAAAGGACACATTTTGTACAACTAAAAACAAAAGCCACTCATATGCTATTTATATATAAAATACATACCTAAAATAAAGACATAGAAACATTGAAAGTTGTAAGGACAGCATAAAAAATGAAGTAAACATTAACCAACAAAAGATGATATTATATTATCAGGAAAAAAGTTTTTCTTTAAGCAAAAATACTAGAAACAATGAGAATCAGCTACTTAGTAGTTTACAGTGTATATTTCCCCAGCAAAACTATCTTGTTCAAGTCTTAGCTCACCTACTTATAAGATATGTGACCTGGAAACGTTTCTTAATCGAAGTCTCAGTGTCTCCAGCTGTAAATGGCTAAGATGACATAGAAACCTCATGGGGTTAAGGTAATTACCAAATCAGATCATGTATGCAAGTATCAGATGTTTATGTGTTCAATGCATAACAGCTATAAGTGTTTTTAGTCTCATATACTTTTAAATCAGGAAAAATAAAAGTGTGTTTGCTATACTATTGTTTAGCATTCTGAAAATGTTAGCAAACACAATTGTCAAGAAAGCTTAATTAAGGATATATTCAATGTAAGTGTAGAGGGAAAATATAACATTATGTACAGAGAATTCAATTGTCTTCCTGGGGAAAAAAAAATTAAAGTTAGGTAGCATACTGTGGAAAAATCTAAAGCACAGTATCAACCAATATTGCAAAATACCTATGGGTATTTTGAAAATTGTACAAAGTCCACAAGAAGTCCAAATTGTACAAAAAATTGCTGCACACCTATTGAGCAACATCAGTGAAAATATTAGACGGGAGAGGCACGTCAAGTTTCTAGGTTGGAAATGTATAATATCGCTTATATGTGGAATCTAGAAAAATGGCAGAGATTAACTTATTTGCAAAGGAGAAATAGATCTACAGATGTAGAAGACAAACTTATGGTTACCAAGGGGGCGGGGGGGGTAGGATGAATTGGGCTATTGGGATTAACATATATACATGTATACATATATATATGTATATATACATATACATATTGGGATTAACATATATACATGTATACATATATATATGTATATATACATATACATATATATATGAGGACCTACTGTATAGCACAGGGTGACCTCAGTGCTCTGTGGTGACCTAAATGGCAAGGAAATCTAAAAAATAGTGGATATATGATTCACTTCGCTGTACAGCAGAAACTAACACAACATTGTAAAGCAACGATACTCCAATAAAAATTAATTTTAAAAAAGTTTCTAGGTTGGACTTCAATTCCAAATCAAAATAGATTCTATTAACTTAAAATTACCACAAGCTTTATTATTTATCATTAAATTTCTAAGCACATCTTGGTTTTTTCCTCCACTTTCTGTTTGCCTACTACCTGTCAAATTTGTCGAATTTGGCATGTTTGATTATAGAAATCACTATGATTAAATATATTTAATGTCTACTTTGTCAGGAAACATTGTTTTATTTTTTTCAGTGTCTACTCTTAATTATATTTTAAATGAAATTGATGATGATTTAATAATGGTCAAGTTCTGAAAAGAATACATTCTATATAATAAAGTTTCATTTCAAACCAGAAGGAATGGATTGATTTTTTTAAAAACATAGTGGCAAGCCCACCTGAAAAATACAATTACACTCTGTTCTCATATTTACCCCCAAGTTAACTCTAGGTGATTAAAAAATGTAAATGAAGAAAGGAAACAATAAAGATACTAAAGTAAAATAGGGGTTAATAATTATTTAAGCTTTAGGCAGGACATCCTTGAAAAGCATGGCACCAGAGACCAAAACCCAATCACAATGCGTTTTACATTTAACTGCATAAAATTTAACCTCAGCTGATGAAAAAGTAAAGGGCAAAGTGGTAAAGAAAATCTGAAACATAACTGAAATTTAATGTCATCTTTGAATATGGATTCCAAAAATAAATTACCTGTGCACAGACCCCACCAACATATTAAAATATATATGACACCATGATTAAGTAGGTCATTTTCTGTGAAAGTAAAAGTGACTCTATCAATAAAATCTGTTAATGAAACTGATCATATTAATAGGCTGAAAGAGAAAATGTGTCAACAATTTTTATAAATAAAGCATATTTGACAAATCTTATTCAAAAGCATTGCTGTATATGTAATTAACCACCAATATATTCAAATTTATATCAACAAAAAGTGAAAAACAACTTTAAAGAAATAAGGGATGCTTTTGTAAATTTTGTAAATCTAAACTCTGGATTACTAATCAGTCAGTAACAGTCATGATATAGTCAAATATTTCCTGATATGCAAACATGTTTATGAGATATTTCTAAATGAAAAATCATATGCATTCTTGGCTTTAGTACTATATACATACAATGTCCTTTTCATACATGAAAAATTATATATAATAGATCTAAATCAAAACATGGAAAGATAAATAATGATTATCTTTGTAGAGTGAAATGGCTTTTTTTGTTCCTTATTATAGTGTTTTGCTGTGTTTTAGTGACCTGCATTGAGCCTATATTAATTTTAATATTACATTTTAAATGTTACAAAACACAATTTATAATTTTTTGCACTTTAATTCCTCAGGATCAAGACTCTCCCTGGCTTAAAATCTTCTTCATGATGGTAGCCAATAATGTGATAAGCCTAATCTTCTACCTTATATTTGCTAAAGCAGAAATTCAAGACTGGGCTAAAGAAACACAAAACACTTATCTCTGAAGGTAAGAAGTGATCCGATTAAGGGCAGATTTTGAAGCTGGGGATGCAGGAAAGAGAGGAGCTAAAGATGGCCCCTGAGCAAACTGTGGTATTGCTGACTGAGATGGGAAAAAATATGGGGTGCAGGTTTGGGGGAGAAGAGGGAGCCATGTAAAGTCTGAAACTATTTGACATCCTGATGAGATGGCATGCAGCCCAGCGGATATACCAGTCTAGATTTCTTGAAAGATACTGGGGCTAGAGATATAAATTTGTGAGTCTGGGCCTCTCTAACATCTAAAGGTGAGGAAGAGAGGGGGATGCTTGCAAGGGAAACTGGGAAGGGCCTTTGGTGAAGTAGGAAAGACAGTTGAAGAATGTGGTGTCTAAGAAGAAAAGTGAAAAAGGTGGGAATGAGTACCCGTGGTAAATGCTATCAAGGGGTCAAATTATATAAGGTCTGTGAATTTATTAATGGGTCTGGCAAGAGTTACTTTAAAGGTGATCCTGACTAGAGTGGTTTTCAAATGAGTGATGGAGACAAAGCGTCCATTAAAGTTCAAAGGAGAATCTGATATTGTGCCTTTCTTCTCTAAACTCTGTCAGTGGTAAATAAATAGGAAAAATGTATTTTTGTAGAATTAGTTCAGCTAGTACACAAATAAGAATTGATAGATGTAGAAAATCCCTATTTTGCAAACCCCAGTGAATTAAGGGATCTAGGGTTGAGCATCAGTGGCTGATATCACAAAGAGAGACATAGAGACATTGTGTACATCCTGGTGAAAAAACGCACCACCATCAAGGTCTTGCTAAAAAGATCAAACTGAATGTGATCAAGCCTCAGGATACAGCTACTGTTTTCTAATAAATACAGAAAATAGAGAATATGTTGAACTAAATCCTAAGGGTATCATCAGCAAATCTAAACTGTCTTATAATTGTCTTTAACAAATGAATTATAAGGAAAAAGAAGAGTGATGGAGGGGGAGTCTCTGATTCAAAGAGACTTAAAAGACATACAAAATGGGGCTTCCCTGGTGGCACACTGGTTGAGAGTCCGCCTGCCGATGCAGGGGACACGGGTTCGTGCCCCAGTCCAGGAAGATCCCACATGCCGCAGAGTGGCTGGGCCCATGAGCCATGGCCACTGAGCCTGCACATCCAGAGCCTGTGCTCCGCAATGGGAGAGGCCACAGCAGTGAGAGGCCCGCGTACCGCAAAAAAAAAAAAAAAAAGACATACAAAATGTTTAAAAACTGACAAAACTAAAGTCTACAGTGATACATATGTGGGTAATAAATCTACAAAGACATGCACAGAAGACATTACACTAAATGTCAGGATAGTCATTACCTGTAGGGGGAGGGAGAGGTTGTGATTAGGAGAGACCACATGGAAAACTGCTGGGATCCTGGTGATAGTCTGTTTTTCATATCCAAAGTTATGATTAAAAGAGTGTTCATTGGGTGGAGACTTTAGGGTTCTCTATATAGAGTACCATGTCATCTTCAAATGATGACAGTTTTACCTCTTCCCTTCTGATTTGGATACATTTTATTTCTTTTTCTTGTCTGATTGCTATGGCCAAGGAAGTGGAGACAGCAAGAGTAGACAGCCCTATAAAGGAGAGCTGAGAAACGTCATGGTACAGTGGGGAGTTTTTTGTATGTTTGTTGTTTTAGAATTAGATGTAATAGTATATAAACTGATGGTATAATCTAATAGTGAGGTTTCACAATATTGGAGAGAAAATGCACATGCAGAATTAAACTACTTGATTTACCAAGACTCGTTCATACTATGAGACTCAGGTTGAAGCAGCAGCTGAGGCCCTGTCCATAGGGAACTTAGAGAGCATGGCACAGAGGATGGAGGTGTGCCTCAGTGGGCACTTGCAGTATAGCTCTCCTTGAAGACTGTGAGCTTCTGCAAGGTACAGCCTAATGGCTTCACCCACTGAAAATCATCCCAGGTCTTCACCCAGGTCCCCTCTTCCTCTCCCTAAAAAACCATCATGATAGAGAGAGTCAGGCTGGTGAAGAGGCTCTGACCACCATGCACATGTGTACATCCACAGAAAAAAAAAGGGGAGCAATGCACCAGGCTGTAGAAGTCTGGAGAGTTCTGCCTTTCTTGGTCAGGAAGTGCTGCTGCTACTGATAACAGCAATTTTATAGGCTAAGAAAGTATTTGTGCTCAAGTAAACTTTTATTACACAATTATGTACATATTAAAAAATGGTGTGTATGATTCCTCGTTTAAAAAAAAAAAAAAAGTCCAGAGGGGATGAAATCCAAGCACAGTGCAGAGGCTGGCCTTGGATACAAACCCAGAGTTTACCCATAGTAGCTGAGAGAAAGTAGGGTTTATGGACACAGACTTGGTAGGTCAACACATAGGCTGGCATTTTGTCTGTGCAATAAACAGTGAGGTTTTCACTTAAACTGTCCTCACTTCTTTTTTCTTTTTTTTCTGTTCAGTGGCAGTGACTTCTCCTACTCTGTTTTCCAGCTCACTGATCTGTTCCTCTGTATCATTTAGTCTACTATTGATTCCTTCTATTATATTCTTCATTTCAGTTATTGTATTCTTCATCTCTGTTTGGTTGTTCTTTTATATTTTCTAACTCTTTGTTGAAAACTTCTAATTTCTCATTCTGTGCATCCATTCTTCTCCCGAGTTCTTTCATCATCTTTATGATCATTACTCTGAACTCTTTCTCAGGTAGATTGCCTATCTCCACTTCACTTAGTTCTTCTTCTGGGGTTTTATCTTATTCCTTCATCTGGGACATGTTCTTCTGCCACCTCATTTTGTCTCAGTTGCTATTACTATTTTTATGTATGTAGTTGGTTAGTTATATTTCTCGACCTTGGAGCAGTAGCCTTCTGTAGGAGAAGTCCTATGCATTCTTGCAGCATACTCCTCTCTTGTCACCCAAGGTATAAGCTTTAGGGATTCCCCCTAAAAGGGCTGTGTGTTGTGGTCCTTCTGTTGTGGCAGTCTGCCTATGTGGGTGGTCTGGTAGGCTTGGTTGGCCCCTGGCCCGGTTGGTTGCCAGGCCTTGCCTTGTGTGGCTGCTGTTGCCTAGTAGGGCCTGGTCACAGGTGGCTGACTGCAGAGCCCCTCCCAGGGCCCCAGGGTTAGTGCTGGCTCGCTGGTGGGTAGAGTAATGCTCCAGAAGGCTCCAGTGCTGTTCCCCCCCGCCCCGCCCCGCCATTGGTGGGTGAAGCCAGGTCCTAGTGTTAGTGATGGACTACTGGCAGGCAGAGCCAGGTCCTGGAGTCTGGCTGCAGGGCCCAGGGATCCCAGAGCTGCTTTCAGATTGCTGGGGGAAGGGGTGGGGTTCCTGACACAGTTGCATATGAGGTCCTTCATGTCCCTGTGTTGTTCTGCTAGTGGGCAGGGCTGGGGCCCAGCTGGTCCCAGGATAGGGTGTGGCCTGCTACGAGTGTGCTGTGTGGCGCTGAGGCTGTGGAACTGTGGTTTTCCTGTGTCTGGTGTCTGCCTCCTGGTGGGTGAGGCTGGTCTGGAAGCTAGTGCAGGCTTCCTGGAGGGCAGGGTCAGTGCCTGCCCACTGGTGGGAGGAGCTGGGTTTTGGTCTTCTGGTGGGCAGGGCTGTGTGTAGACGCCATGTCTAGAGGCAGCTGTGGGCTCAGGAAGTTTTTAGGCAGCCTGTCTGCTGATGGATGGGGTTGTGTCCCCACCCAGTTAGTTGTTTGGTCTGAGGCATCCCAGCATTCCAGACTGTTGGGTGGGGCCAGGTCTTGGTGCTAACAAGCCAGAGAGAGGATCCCACACAGTGGCACCCACCAGCATCAGTGGCTCCCAAATATGTATGCCACCAGTGTCTGTGTCCCCAGGGTGAGCCGCAGCTGCCCCTCACCTCTCCAGGAGACTCTCCAAGACCAGCAGGTAAGTGTGGCCCGGGCTCGTATCAAATTACTGCTTGTGCCCTGGGTCCTGGTGCATGTGAGGTTTTGTGTGCACCCCTTAAGAGTGAAGCCATGAAGCCTCTATTTCCCGCAGTCCATTGGGACTCCTGAAATTAAGACCCACAGGCCTTCAAAACCAAATGCTTTGGGGGCTTGTCTTCCTGGTGTAGGACCCCCAGGCTGGGGAACCTGATGTGGGGCTCAGAACTCTCCTATGGGGAAACTTCTGTACTATAATTATTCTCCAGTTTGGTTGCCCACCTGAGCATATAGGACTTGATTATATTGTGAGTCCTCCCCTCCTACCCATCTCATTGTGGTTCTTCTTTTGGCCTTTAGTTGTAGATCTTTTTCTGATAGGTTTCAGTCATTTTCATAGATGATTATTCTGCAAGTAGTGATTCTGATGTGTTTGTGAGAGGAGGTGAGCTCAGGGTCTTTCTACGCCCACATCTTGACCAATCGCCAAGGTTTTTACTTAAGAGACAGGAGTTGAGAGAAATGGAAAGAAAAGGAATCCACACTGGAAAAGGGTAAAATTACCATTATGAGTTGATGATATGATTGTTTACCTAGAAATATAACTGGGTTGGCTGCAAAGCTACAGAAACAATAAGTGCACACAGTAAGTTTCCTGACTAACCTATTAATACAGAAAATTTTTTTCATGTTAAACAATAACTAGTTAGCAAATTTATTGAAAGAAATGATCCAAATGATGGTTGGAGGGAAATCTGATATGATCGATCAAAACTTTATTTGACTCAGTTTGCCAGCACCAAGAAATTTCCAAAATGGTGCACTCACAAAACTTCACCAGGATGCATTTATGCTCAAGATTGCTGATTAGAAATGACAAAAATCTGGATCTGGAATTAAACATGTCTATCAATGGCATCTTCGTTAATAAATTTTGTAAGTGAATGGAATACAACCAGCAGCTGAAAAATATGGGATCTCATACAAATATTTTAATATAGATATTACTGAGGCCATTGTTATGAATAAGCACATAACAACACTAGGAAATATTCCATAGGTGTTAGCAAAAGTTCATCTTCTATTTCCAAGGTACAGAGTTGGGC